TGAAGGTGTTGTAAAACAATTTTCATTTCTCAAACTTATAGTAATAATTGTCGGCATGCTCTTAAACAAAATGTAAAAAAAAATCATCTTTTACAAAAATTCTAACTATGTCTGAAATTATTAACATTTTTGATAAATTAGGAAAACACAATTACTTCCCTTAAAAATATTACATCGGGAAGGGGGGGGGGAGAATTTACTTTTTATTACTTTGTTTTGGTGTTGGGAAAAAATAATACATAATTAGCGGGGATTGATCAAAGGCAGTGTTGAAGGTATTTTTAATACTGCCTTTTACTTATTCTATACACTGAACGTACTGTTTACTAATTATTTTTAAAAAATCAATAACAGTTAATTCGCCAGCTCTTAAATGTCCCATATTCTCTGAGTGCTATAGTGCATAATTTATCTTTAAACATTGCAATAGACTATGAATAAGAAAGCTTACTATAGTCTTTAAATGAATCAAATCCAGGCGTCCCCGGCACTTTAAATTTTTTTACCAAGCCAGGAGATGGCGTGTTTGAAGAGTTATAAATAGTGTTGGAGCGAACATATTGATTAAGTGTTTAATGAGGCGTAAGGCAGCTAACATTTATACGCTGTGTTGCTCTGTTTGTCTGTAACTCGATATTGTTATTACCATAAAGATAGATCTAACATGAAACACATGATGCTTACTTAGTTAATTGTGTTATCGATGATGTTTCCATGAAAGGGTATCAATAAACACTGACACAGACAATCGAAGAACTTACAAAACATTAGCTTTGATTTCCTCTTGCAGTTAGATATAAACAAAATGCAATAAATGTTTGTCACAATGTGTAACACGTTAACGTACTCCAAAATTGATTTTTTTTAAATATATAAAACTCAAGTGTTAATCGTTAAATGAGTTTGTCTATCAATGATGGCGCAATAATTGTGGTAAATCGTGCCATCTGTTGGGTTCTGGAATCTAGGGTATATATATATATGTAGCGACAAACAAAGACAACTAACACTATATAAATATAATAATAACAATAAGATGTTTAATATAAATGTATACAGTAATAAGAATAATAAAAGAGCAAATGGAGTCTACAACATAAAATAACAAGATACTCAACGTCTCCCCGTCCACAGCCACAGCACAACTTCACATCCAGATCTCAACCCCACGTTCCACGTTCCACGTCCACAGCCACACTACAACCAACTGATTCACACACTAGCACACGCTCTGACACCCGTCACCTGACACACCTCACGTGAACACCTCTCGCTCCATGTAAACACACTCAACCAAGGGATACAACTATACACCAAAGGGAGGGTACCTGTCGTTCCAGCACACAACACACACACACACAAGCAGGGGACATGTAAGGGACGTAACATCCCTCCCCTCCACCTTCAGATCTCTTTTTCTTCAAAAGAGATCAAACATCTCTTGTTCCATTAGCCACTGTTGGTGCCCGAGCTCGACTACTTATTCTTTAGTCCTTAGAAAGCCTCGTTTTGACCGTGTGGCGTGTATCCAGCCTGGACAGTTTGATCCAGAGTGTGGCTTGTATCCAGCCTGGACAGTTTGATCCAGAGTGTGGCGTGTATCCAGCCTGGACAGTTTGATCCAGAGTGTGGCGTGTATCCAGCTTGAACAATTCGGTCCTGAGAGTGGACTATGGTTTTTCTCCGGCCAGGCACCAAGCTCGTGGTCTGACTATCTCAACCTATAATGATACATGTGAGAAGCCACAATAAAAAAAATTAATCAGCATAATCATTCTATACTGCATCAGTAATACCTTTCTCAAACATTTCTCAATATAATCACATTATAATGCCCCAATAGTAAATTCCTTAACATAATCATACTATCTCCAACAATGATAAATTTCTCAATATCATATACACTAGTTGTCGTAAAACACTCTTGATAGATTGTTTGCTACAAAGTTCTCAGTTCCCTTGATATGTTTCACAGTACAGGCTAATTCCTGTAGTGCAAGGGTCCATCGGCAGATGCGTACGTCGCCATAGATGGTCATCTTTCCTTAAAGGCGATCAAACTGAGTTCCCTTCTCGATAGCCGTTTTAACTACATCAATCATCTCCAGCCCATAATCATCATACACAGCTTCTGTACAAAAAAACAAAGAAAAATTAACATTGATTGAATAAATTATCTTAACAAAAAAACTTACCAAGGACACTACCTTTGTAAGGATACGCCTCCAAATTTCATGCTTTACCTCACTCTCATATGAGAGTCTTTAAGCAGGGAAAAATTTCCTAACATATCACGCTGAGCTGTGGGACACACCCGTGATATGTGACCAACACCACCGCAGCAATAACACTTGAGATCATCTGACCGTCGATGTACATTTGCAGTCGGCCAGTTGCTCGCTCTACTGGTCGCGTTGGGACAGTTTCGTTGTATGTGGCCTGGCTTTCTACACCTATAACAGGCGCCTGTATCTATATCCATACTGCACTCTTTGGCAATGTGACCTTGTTCATTGCATTTGTAGCACCGATAAGGTCTTTTGTTGTTTCCATACTCCACAACAGCTCTTTTATCTGACCTTTTTCTCCAAGGAAAACCGCTACTACTATCGCTATGACAATCCCTGGCATAGTGTCCATAACGTCCACATGTGAAACCTTTACTGCTCAGGCTGACCTTCCCAACACCATGCATAGGCTGTACACCAGCTAGTCATGCCTGCCGTTTACCTGTTTCGTTCCTGTCCCGTCTAAAGGTGGGACAGACTCCCGCTATGTGATTAACTCCCCCGCATGAGTAGCACTCAATTTCTTCCGTGGAAGGGCAAGTGTGGCGTCCTGGAGATCGCGGTGTCTTGTTTTGCCAGGGTATCCTCTCTGCTGTAGAACTTGCAGCGACGTACGGAGGGGTTTGGTGTACTGGCCTCGTCACTCTAGCGATTTGCGTGCTCTTATAGTTGTCAATAACTTTAAGATTATCTTCCACACTTACCTTAGCAGCACCATTCAGCCTCTCCAACAGATCACATGTGACCACCGATTTTATCCGATCAACAATCAGGAGGTTCACCAAGTCCTCAAACGTTTCTTTTGTCTCCGACTGCCGGACCCACGCTCTCAACGCGGCTTCTGTGTTGACTGCGAAGCTTCTCATGTCGTCGTGTGTTGGTACCAGCTGGTGGAATCTGACCCTATACTTTTCCTCGTTGAAACCTGCGTGCGTGAATAACTTTACCTTTACTGACTCGAAGTCATGATGCAGGTTCAGTCCCGTCTCAACGAGGAAAGTCTTCAGTTGTCCACTCATCTTGTCCGTCAGAAGGAGCGACCAGTCCTTGGGGTCAATGCCTTGTCTCTTTGCCTGACTCTCAAAATGCCTCACATACGCACCCAGGTCTTCGTCCACCGTCATCGCCGCCACATCCCTCAAGCGGGGTACAGGGTTACATACCTTTGCTACAACCTCGACCTTCGCATCTTCCACTCTCCTCAACTCTTCCTTTACCCACTCCGCTAAACTGTCATCGGTCAGCCCGATGAGCTTTCCCTCCTCCTTCAAGTCACTTATTAGCTGTCTTCTGGCACTCCTGGTAGTCGCCATACTAAGCGGACGAGCCCCCAAATGTTGGGTTCTGGAATCTAGGGTATATATATATATGTAGCGACAAACAAAGACAACTAACACTATATAAATATAATAATAACAATAAGATGTTTAATATAAATGTATACAGTAATAAGAATAATAAAAGAGCAAATGGAGTCAACAACATAAAATAACAAGATACTCAACGTCTCCCCGTCCACAGCCACAGCACAACTTCACATCCAGATCTCAACCCCACGTTCCACGTTCCACGTCCACAGCCACACTACAACCAACTGATTCACACACTAGCACACGCTCTGACACCCGTCACCTGACACACCTCACGTGAACACCTCTCGCTCCATGTAAACACACTCAACCAAGGGATACAACTATACACCAAAGGGAGGGTACCTGTCGTTCCAGCACACAACACACACACACACAAGCAGGGGACATGTAAGGGACGTAACACCATCCCAAAAATTTACATCAAGCACCGTATTGCCAAATATCAAGTATAATTAGATTTTCCCTAAATAACCCCCCCCCCCTAACTTCTCGTCTCAAGCAAAGGATACATAAAATGTTTTTTTCACCAAATTAGACTTACAACCATTTAAAAAAAAACAATTATGTTACGAACAATTCTAAATTAAAACAATTGCATAATTTCAGATTCTCATCTAAACATAGCTAAGCCTTTATGTAAAAATCTGTATTGCCGTCATATGATAATGTAAATGTGATGCGTGGGTTGACCTTCAACATCTGACAGAGTTTCGGGGTTCGAAACCAGTTGACGGCGGTGCACGTATCGCTGTCACGACGTCGTTGACACAGAGCTGTGCAGGCCAGGGCGCTGGTCGTGGTGGTTGTGAGAAAAGGCGAAACTTCTGGTAACGGTGAAGTAGTAGTCCCTATAGGATGCATAGCTGATCATCACTTTCACCTCACAAATATTTATGTTGTCCAGGCCGAACCTAATGGAGATTATATATATATATATATATATATATATATATATATATATATATATATATATATATATATATATATATATAACACATTTAATATGTAAAAGCCGCATTTTATATGGGCATTCTAAACACCCAACCCAAGCGTAATAAAATAATATACAGAACAGAGGAATATTAAATGCTACACAAGATAACCTGATTTTTGGAGTTTACTCATTTTATTTTATTACTCTAACGTATGGTCATCATGAAGTATCCATGACGCCTATCAGTCTTAAATCGAGATCCGTTTTCCAATACCTGTATTATTAATCACGACTTAGATATGCTCTTCTACAAATTATGACTTTAAGAGAAAGCATTTGCAATATGTCCTCTATGAAACAAACAATATATAGGTTATCTTGGTGTGCTACGAAATTAAATAGGACTTGGTAAATCGGACAAATCTCCCCATGATTGGGTAGTCACATATCTGTGTCAAGGTCGCTCCCTGTCCTACAGGTTCTACTCGCCTGTAGCACACCTCGCCAGGGTCACTGGACAACCTTGGGTCAGACCGAAACACGTCAAACTGATAACTCTGGGTTCTGATAGATGAGTTGTAGTCGTCTCCCCTGTGAGGCGAAAGGAAAACATTTTATACAGTATCATACATTTAATATTACACAGGATCATATATTATACAGTATCATAATTAAATATGATTATATATTACACAGTACCATACATTATACAGTATACTTTATAGAACCATACAATGCACATTCATTCATTATACAATGTCATATACTTTATAATACCTTACTTTACATAGTGTCATAAAATACAGTATTATTACCGTATTTGCCTACTAAAAAATAAACGTAAACCATGTTTGACAACTTAGAATTTGAAATTAGTGTAGGCTTTACTTATAATATTGCGCCTTGAATCACGTTTGTTTGTTTTTTAAATGAAAAACACATCCCTTTGTGTTTTTGTTTTATTTTGAAGACAAATGATTATAAACTACTTGATGAGCATAAGTAAAACAATGCCCCTTAAAACACTTATTCATCAGTTACTATTTTCTCGGTGTTTTCCACTAAACTAAAATACACTATAATCAGAAATAACAGAGCACAAATTAAATATTCATTTATTTTCATCACATCATTGTAATTAACCTGTTTACTAGAACAATCTGCTCCACTCTGTAGAGTGATGTAAAGAAAAAATATTGCGAACATTTAATTTAGCGGTCTGTCTCCAAGAATGATGCGACAAATGCGCTATAGTGCTTCCTCACAACGTAAAATACAGATTTTTTACAACCTTCTCTACTGTAATAATCCAGGATCGCTTAAGTATGTTTAAAAGTCTTCTGAACTGGTTTTTAGCATAATCTACTTTTGTTATTAAACGCATTTACCTTTAATGGTACGCTTAAATTAAAGCAACTTATTAAGTAGCTGCTGATTGCTTTAGTCTTTGACCCGACCGACTCTCTCTTAGTTCGCTACATTTACAGGATACAACCAAGGACAAAATTCCTATCTAGGATATCGGCTATTATTTTACAGCGTATGATTAATTAATCACCTTCAGGTATACAACGTAATGTCCTTTAGACTTAGCTGCAAGTGTAGGTTTAATGCACGTAAAAAAACAACTAGGCTGTTTCTATTGAACGCTGTTCATTTAAAAATGTTAGCTTCCGTTTTCTCAGTTGCATCGTTAAATATACATGGGGGTCACTTGCCATTGCAGAGAATGATTGTTGGGCAGTCGAAACTGTATAACGGCACACTATATCTACTTCACCGCAATACAGGGAACAGGATACTAGCTGGATAAGACAAGCTCTGGTTTACAAAAAAAAGTACACCAGGTTAGATCGAGACATCGCAACTTGCTGGTCAATTGGCATTGATTTTTAAAAAGTAATTCAAAAATGTCTTTCACATTTGTCTTAATTTGAATAGAATGGGGAAAAAAATCGTAGAATGGAAATACATTTATTTTGACATCGTCTTAGGCGCATTGATATATAAAACATATAACAATCCTTAATAAATAGTACTCTAATAAAGCTATATACTCAATGATTTTAAAGAAAGAAAGATAACTTTACTTACCAAAATCATATATGTCTTTATCCTTTATGCATATTTGATTATTCCCGCTTATAAAAGATACATTTTAATAACTGCATTATTGTGTTCGTGAGTGTGCGTTTATGTGTAAATATACATCGTTGTGAATATGTTATCAATCATCACCTTGCTAGACGATAATCACAATAGCTTGTTTCTTACATAGCTTTAGATATCTGACAATGTATTAAAATGTATTACGTAAAGAGAAAATGGTGACAAATTAAAGTACAATACCTTTGTATTAAAGGGAAATGTATCATGGAGAAAAAGGAAAAGAAAAATCTGTCAGTTGGCTTTCAACGAAATAAAAACACGCATTCGAGTTGAAAATCATTGCCTTGAAATTCACGATAAATTAATATACACAAGCTAAATACTACATTATAGGTTTTGTATCAAATATTAAAATTAACATTAAGTTTTTAATATATACACATTTTGTTAAATTAACCTTGACACATAACTTGTCCATCCGCTGTGTGGTTGTTTCCATCAAAACATGTACATATGTAGCCTCCATTGGTGTTAGTGCAGTTTTGTTGACAATTGTTTAGAGTTTTATTGGAGCATTCATCAATGTCTGTAAACAAAATATTAGATCACATCAAGAAACAATTCACAGAAAAAATTTAAAACATTTCCCAGTACATCGATACCTTTTTTTATAGTGGTATCGTCAAAACCAGCCGAAAATGTAGGTTCAACAAAAACGTGTAAAACAATGCTATACCTGCCCCAACATCCATCACCTACTCGTAAAAAAACGCCCCATTACTATCATCAATGAGCTATAACATATGACCATTAATGTAACAATAAATTAACATGTATATATGTAATTAATTATACCTATATTAGAAGTGATACCGTGATTTTTAAGTACATGTCGTCTATATATACATATTTAACTAGATTTAGAGCTATTATAATAGACTACGATTTCCTGACCGATAGATTATTAAGGTTATTACTGCACGTTTTTTTTTTCTTTAGAATAATTAAGTTGCTCTAAAAATACTTTATACTTTAAAATATTAGCAAAAGGCAGTGTAGCTTTTAATGTGTATTTTAGTTGAGTTATTAATAAAATATTTCCAGTTTGATTTTTCTAATGTGTCATATGCTTAACACATTTAATAACTATCCTATAACCAAATTACACATTTTCCAACCATACCGCTCTAGGCGAGACACCATTGACAGAAGAGCGCTAAGTCCAAAGAGAATATTTTAAATCTGCTATTCTTGGTAGCTAAAATACGCTTCCCTATTGTTAACTACAATGACAAAGGAGTTCTAAATGTTGTATGATACATATAGTATTCTGCATGTATTATGCTATATGCAGCATGTTACAACATGTTGTATAAATTATCTTGTATATTTATCTTTAGTAATTACCTCTCTGTACAGCCTATGGTAACAAATGATGAGAATAACGTAAACGTTTACCTTTACAAATTACCTGCCCCTCCGCTACATGGGACTGATAGCCTACAAAGCACGAGCAGGTGTAATTCTCGTAGGTGTCAGTACACAATTGTTGACAATCGTTCAATGTTTCATCAGCACAACTATCTATTGCTGGAAGAAATTTATAGACCATGGACATAAGAAAATTAATACAATCACATACATACTCCAATGCAAAATGTATCGATTATGTATTCATTTATTACACGTAAATATAAAAGTGGTGTAATAATTTCTAATTGTAATTTCGTAAAGCCTAACGCATAAGCATGAGCAACTGGTAGAAAAATAATTGTTTCAGCGTGAATATACTTATAATTGATTCTAAGAAAAGTCAAAAGCTGACTTTGTGTGACACAATACTTCATCGTAATTAATGGATTGTTTATCAAACAACAAGGACTTTTAAGTCTTTAGCGCAGTTATTATCATCAGTCTTCAAGTGTCCAGTAGTGGCGTTGTGTAATATAAGGTTAGGTCGTCAAACTTCCTGTTTTTAGGAGGACATTTGACATTACTTTCATCGTCGTTCACACAACAGTGTAATTACCTTATGATTCTGTATGCATTATTAATTGTACTTTGTTTTTAGATAAAGAGAAATGTAAACTGTTTGCTAAATAATACTCTGAACATAAAGCTGTAGTCTTTATCACTATGCCACTTCACAAATTATACTAGAAAATAGAAATAGAAAATCAGAAAACACATAATTTGTACTCACGAACCACCATTTTGCAGATAAAGTTAAACAGATCGGAACAAAAGGCTGAGTACCAGGAACTCCATCCATAAATGACGGCACAGTTCTGGTACGTATCGCCGTCTGGTTCCCCTAGTACAATATAATAAAATAAAAATGCCATTTACACCCGCTGTCGGTAGTTACACAGATTAGCGAGACGGCCAATCACAACGTCTTTAGCTCGTTTGAACTTCTGCAGTTTACAAAACATAAGCAGGCGGTAGTTATACAACCATAAATGTTTAAAGTTTCATGCTTCATGATGTATATTAGTAACAAATGAAATATTTAAAAGGAACACCCACCGTATGACCATTTTGAGTACACAATTGGAGATTTATCTAACCATTCCCACAGACCCTCTTGTCTTTCATCAGATAATCCAATCCAACAATTTATAGGGTTCCCATTGTAACGATCTGCATGATTTTCATCGAGACAAAGATAAACATACTTAAATACGCTTTAACAAAAATGGAAAAAGTTATCGTAAACTTAGCTTTACATAAAATGTTTCAAACCCAGATATAAAATATTTTCACATTGGATTTAGGCATGGCTGGCTAATAATCCACACAATCAGTGCTTTATGGGATACTTATTTTAACTCTAGTTATTTTCGTTATCCTCTAGCAAATGAAACACGATAATCACTTAACTACCATTAATGTAGTAGTTTTCGTCCTCAGAGTTTATCCATAGTAAACTTGCGTTGTTCGCCATACAATAAATGCTTGCATCGTGCATATTCAATGTGAGATCTATATAAGAGTAGTAGGCATCTGTTCCTTGTCTTCGCTCCCACTTTAATGCTGAGGCTGAAAAAAAACGAAGAACAAGTAAACCACAATGCTAATATAGATCATAGAGTAATTTAACGTTGTAAAATTATGGTGTATTTATAAAATGTAACTATTAATGTGTCCTCCACCTTTCGTATTTGTTAATTCTATAACTATTCAATACACAATTATTATGCAAATTGCAAATTATATATTTTCTAAATATTTCTTGTCGATGGAATTCTCAAAGGTAAGATAGTAATAGTAGTATCTCATGCTTTGGTCAAGCATGTTCATAAACTCACTTGTAATGTAACTACATTATTAGGTCCAAGCAAATTTGCTCGAGTACAAAACACAGTTTAAATAGGATGGGAATCTAGTCCATACACATAATGTAACAATATAAATTATGTAGGCCCCATGTTTTGCGGTATTATATAAAAAAATCACTAATATATTATTCGTATGTGTTTTTTATATTTTTTATATAGTTCTTGGAAATAAAAGACTGTTTGATAAAATAATTAATGCTATAAGCATCAGCAGTAGCACGAATTGTGATCTATAAATAGCATATATTTAACTTACCAAACAAAGCTACTTTCAGTATCAGGAATAATTTTCTCAACATTCCTTCTATTTGATATTCGCTGAGAAATAAAATATCATTAAAACGCTAAAATATATTTAACATTGTTAAAACTTACGGCACTACTTTTGAAATAATTCAAAATGAAGTAAACGTGTTTTTTACCCTTAAATGATCATGCATGGCATACTATCTGGATCACATAAAAACATTGTTTCTAAACATAATTATGTAATCAAAGTCATTGCAATTAGAGCTTTTTAGATCTAGTTTGCACTGACGCCATCCAAGCGTGAGCCGAGTAGAGGCTCAATAAGCAAACAGCAGTTTAACAGAACAAAATTATGAAAAAAGTTCTTGGTATTAAAGTACATCTCCTCTCTACAATATTTTAGTCCTTTATGTAGAGAATATTTTACCGCACTTGATACAGTACGAAAAGTTGTAACGACAACCAGTGGCGGAGCAAGAAAGAAAGGCAAAATATTTTTGGGTCCCAATATATATATATATATATATATATATATATATATATATATATATATATATATATATATATATATATATATATATATATATATATCCTAATATATAAGACCATGTGCGCACTTCTGTCTCTGTCTCTGTCTCTCTCTCTGTCCGCAACATATTTTCACAGGCTACGATATCAGTATTTTCAGCAATATATTGAGAAATCGATACGAACTTATGTTGAAAATAATATGTTAGATGTTTTAAATGTATAACCTTAATTTTATTTAAAGAAGAAAAGAAATAAACGCTTATTCGAATGTAGAAAAACAATTGAAATTAAACAACCGAAAAAGTGTTTATAGTTGTGAAAAGAACGCAATAAAGAATGACGTCACATGCCACATGTTTACACTATGAAAAACACAGCACTAATAGCGTCATTTTCCGAATTTAGAATATAAAGTATAGAAAAATGAACTATTTCATGCAAATTTAATTTAGATCGAGATACTATAAATACGTATCAAGAAGTACGCTATGAAATATATACAATTTTGTCGGTTAAACTAATACAAATTACTATAAAAAAACATAATGACCATTGAATAGCCGGGTTTTTAACGGAATCATTTAAGTCTATTAAAAAGTGTGTGGATTTAATATGGTATTCTGTTGATAAAAAATGTATAACTTATAATTTGGTTTTAATTTTTCTAAAAGGAATAATAGCCTATGTTATTTTAAATGTGTCAGATTTTTAGCTATTTAGTTATATCTTTGCTTTGTCGCTAAAGTTGTTCAACGTGTAGTAAAGCACATTGCGTTTTGACCACTAATTTTTTCTCAAACACGTATAACATTAAAAATATATAGACCTATAATTCACGTGTAACGGTTACCGACGGCTAATATATATATATATATATATATATATATATATATATATATATATATATATATATATATATATATATATATATATATATATATATATAATATTTTTAAATTGTCGCTCTAATTATATTTATATTCGATAGCTTGTAGATGCAACTTATTTGTTGTTTGGCTGTGAGCTGGTCACTTGAATTTATCCAAATAAGAAGCAGTAACTCTCACAATTTAGTCATACACACCGAAATGACGCAGCATTTTTAATGAGGTTCCCACCTGCATGTTACAAATTGTGTATTTATTTTAGACGTTAGCCTTGTTTTCTAGAACTGTGGTAATTAAATGTAAACAATGTCAGCCCTCTATTTGTTGAATGACGTCATTTAATTAACAATATTAATTAATTATAAATATTCAATTAATTCATTTACCAATAATATAATATAAAAAAAAATTCTTACCTTCCTTGTTTTATGAATAAGTCATAAAACTAATAAATATTAGTTTGTATGATACAGATAGTAAAGAATAGTAGTTCTACCAATACAAGAAACGTAATTCTACTTTGTAAAATCAATGATTTGTGGCCTCTAACCAACTCTATAAAGAAGCAAAAGTCCTCTTAACGTCTTGCGGTCTCTAGCGCAATGGAATTTTAATTATTTTTTTTTCAAAAGACTTTTGCGGACAATAGCGTGTGTTTGATTGTAGAAGAAAGTGGACACAATGGTTTAAAAACAAAGGGAAAAAGAGCCTGGGATAGTGTCCATAAAATTAAAGATAATCCAACCGCAGCCACAGTATTTTCTTTACAAAAGAACCATCAAGTTAAAAATGAACGAACATTCAATTTTATTTAATTATTAAAAAATAATTATGGTCGGCTGCTGGTTCCCCTAAACCCCTCCCCCCCTACTCCCCGCTGCACTGCGGGGTCTGGCGGCATTGTAGTTCCGCACCTGACGAAAACGTGCACATATATTCAAATAAAAATAATATAAATGTCACCTTAGAATAAAATCCATTGGCGGATATGAAACGGTTTCAAAAAATTGCAAAACATACAGAAAAAAAAATGCTTTTTTGCCAGTTCAATGAATGATTAATTAAATTTAAATAGTCTCTTAAGAACAAATCGAAAATTATTAAAGAGGGTGGGGTGACACCATGACGTAAACGGGCTAATTAGAGAGAAAACAATGCTACATCTAACTGTATCACTAACAGATTGAAGATAAACATCGTCACTATTAGGACTGCAATCATTAAGCTTATAAACATACATGTATGCGTATTTGGCATAAAATAATTAAATTATAGGCCTATGTAGGCCGACATACACACATATTTATTCTATATAAATGTATATAAATAAAAATAAATAAATATATATATACTAGGCATACTGCCTAGCTTCGCTTAGGTTTTTAAATAACATTTGAGAATTTGAATACTTAATTATTTAGCGATGGATTTGGTGTTGAGTGCTTTAATTTAAACAGTAATGCTAACTTTAGAAAAAAAATGTTTTAGTTTGTCATTTAAATACCGTTCTCAGAGAAATATCGGAAAGTACGCAATGTATAAGTAAAATGGAATTAGAACTACACAGCTTCCATGAACAGTACATCTCATAGTTTTTATTACATTGCCTTTTGAAATTTATTTATTTATTTAATTGGGATACGTAACTAAATTAACAACTTAATTTTGTACTAAAACAAATGCTATACTTCGTCATTTTCTGTTTCTGTTTAAAATAGTATACAATTATTTGAAAAAGAATAATTTAAAAAACGTTACCTCCCTTGAAAACTGAACGTATGACGTATGTCTTTGTTTTTTTTTTTACAAACAGTTGCTATGCTTATATAAGAGATTATGGTATATGAACATATTTAACAACTATAATGGCTGTTTCCGACGGGAGTTTTTTTGTTAGCCTCCAGGGTCGGTCTACGACGTCACATAATATTAAGGGGATCGTTCGTCAATTTATTTATATATATATCTCATATAAGGAGAATTTCACTCAAGATCATCTTTTAGCCCTCGTCGAGGGCTTTGAGTCTGACCAACAGTTTTTCCATACGGCCTAGTCATCTATAGTAGTGTATGCAAAAAATTAGCCAGATATACTGAGCTTAAGTACCCTAAAGTCTGCGTTGAAATGACCCTCTGTTTTTCCCATAAAATACAAAGATTATATAGGGAAATACAACTGGTCAGTTTTGACCGCTTTACGAAGTTTTCCCAGATATGTCGAGTTTTTTGTGACACCCCTAGGTGTTCTTCTACCACCTCACAAAATATCAAGGGAGGTCGTCGGAGGAAATTTTTTTTCGTAATAGAGCTCATATAAAGAGAATTTCACTCGCGGTCTCTTTTTAGCCCTCGTCGAGGGCTTTGAGTGTAACCGACAGTTTTCCCTAAAGGTCAAGCCATTGACCTAGGAGCATGCAAAAAATTAGCCAGATATACTGAGTTTAATTACCCTAAAGTCTGCGTTGAAATGACCCTCTGTTTTTCCCATAAAATACAAAGATTATATAGGGAAATACAACTGGTCAGTTTTGACCGCTTTACGAAGTTTTCCCAGATATGCCGAGTTTTTTGTGACACCCCCAGGTGTTCTTCTACCACCTCACAAAATATCAAGGGGGGTCGTCGGAGGAAATTTTTTTTCGTAATAGAGCTCATATAAAGAGAATTTCACTCGCGGTCACTTTTTAGCCCTCGTCGAGGGCTTTGAGTGTAACCGACAGTTTTCCCTAAAGGTCAATCCATTGACCTAGGAGCATGCAAAAAAATTAGTCAGATATACTGAGCTTAAGTACCCTAAAGTCTGCGTTGAAATGACCCTCTGTTTTCCCCATAAAATACAAAGATTATATAGGGAAATACAACTGGTCAGTTTTGACCGCTTTACGAAGTTTTCCCAGATATGCCGAGTTTTTTGTGACACCCCCAGGTGTTCCTCTACCACCTCACAAAATATCAAAGGGGGTCGTCGGAGGAAATTTTTTTTCGTAATAGAGCTCATATAAAGAGAATTTCACTCGCGGTCACTTTTTAGCCCTCGTGGAGGGCTTTGAGTGTAACCGACAGTTTTCCCTAAAGGTCAATCCATTGACCTAGGAGCATGCAAAAAATCAGTCAGATATACTGAGCTTAAGTACCCTAAAGTCTGCGTTGAAAAGACCCTCTGTTTTTCACATAAAATACAATGATTATATAGGGAAATACAACTGGTCAGTTTTGACCGCTTTACGAAGTTTTCCCAGATATGCCGAGTTTTTTGTGACACCCCTAGGTGTTCTTCTACCACCTCACAAAATTTCAAGGGGGGTCGTCGGAGGAAATTTTTTTTCGTAATAGAGCTCATATAAAGAGAATTTCACTCGCGGTCACTTTTTAGCCCTCGTCGAGGGCGTTGAGTGTAACCGACAGTTTTCCCTAAAGGTCAAGCCATTTACCTATAAGCATGCCAAAACTGAGCCAGATGTAATGAAGGTAAGTGCCATAAAATCCGTTTTGAAATGACCCTCTGTTTTCCCCATAAAATACAAAGATTATATAGGAAATACGACTGGTCAGTTTTGACCCATTTCCCGATTTTTCCCGGACATGGCGAGTTTTTTGTGACACCCCAAGGCGTTCTCCTACCACCTCACAAAATATCAAGGTGGGTCGTCGGAGGAAATTTTTTTTCGTAATAGAGCTCATATAAAGAGAATTTCACTCGCGGTCACTTTTTAGCCCTCGTCGAGGGCTTTGAGTGTAACCGACAGTTTTTCCTAAAGGTCAAGCCACTTACCTATAAGCATGCCAAAACTGAGCCAGATGTAATGAAGGTAAGTGCCATAAAATCCGTTTTGAAATGACCCTCTGTTTTCCCCATAAAATACAAAGATTATATAGGGAAATACGACTGGTCAGTTTTGACCCATTTCCCGATTTTTCCCGGACATGGCGAGTTTTTTGTGACACCCCAAGGCGTTCTCCTACCACCTCACAAAATATCAAGGGGGGTCGTCGGAGGAAATTTTTTTTCGTAATAGAGCTCATATAAAGAGAATTTCACTCGCGGTCACTTTTTAGCCCTCGTCGAGGGCTTTGAGTGTAACCGACAGTTTTTCCTAAAGGTCAAGCCATTTACCTATAAGCATGCCAAAACTGAGCCAGATGTAATGAAGGTAAGTGCCATAAAATCCGTTTTGAAATGACCCTCTGTTTTCCCCATAAAATACAAAGATTATATAGGGAAATACGACTGGTCAGTTTTGACCCATTTCCCGATTTTTCCCGGACATGGCGAGTTTTTTGTGACACCCCAAGGCGTTCTCCTACCACCTTACAAAATATCAAGGGGGGTCGTCGGAGGAATTTTTTTTTCGTAATAGAGTTCATATAAAGAGAATTTCACTCGCGGTAACTTTTTAGCCCTCGTCGAGGGCTTTGAGTGTAACCGACAGTTTTCCCTACAGGTCAAGCCATTGACCTAGGAGCATGCAAAAAAATTAGCCAGATATACTGAGCTTAAGTATCCTAAAGTCTGCGTTGAAATGACCCTCTGTTTTTCCCATAAAATACAAAGATTATATAGGGAAATACAACTGGTCAGTTTTGACCCCTTTACGAAGTTTTCCCAGATATGCCGAGTTTTTTGTGACACCCCAAGGTGTTCTCCTACCACCTCACAAAATTTCAAGGGGGGTCGTTGGAGGAATTTTTTTTTCGTAATAGAGCTCATATAAAGAGAATTTCACTCGCGGTCACTTTTTAGCCCTCGTCGAGGGCTTTGAGTGTAACCGACAGTTTTCCCTAAAGGTCAAGCCATTGACATAGGAGCATGCAAAAAATTAGCCAGATATACTGAGCTTAATTATCCTAAAGTCAGCGTTGAAATGACCCTCTGTTTTTCCCATAAAATACAAAGATTATATAGGGAAATACAACTGGTCAGTTTTGACCCCTTTACGAAGTTTTCCCAGATATGCCGAGTTTTTTGTGACACCCCAAGGTGTTCTCCTACCACCTCACAAAATTTCAAGGGGGGTCGTCGGAGGAAATTTTTTTTCGTAATAGAGCTCATATAAAGAGAATTTCACTCGCGGTCACTTTTTAGCCCTCGTCGAGGGCTTTGAGTGTAACCGACAGTTTTCCCTAAAGGTCAAGCCATTGACCTAGGAGCATGCAAAAAATTAGCCAGATATACTGAGCTTAAGTACCCTAAAGTCTGCGTTGAAATGACCCTCTGTTTTTCCCATAAAATACAAAGATTATATAGGGAAATACAACTGGTCAGTTTTGACCCCTTTACGAAGTTTTCCCAGATATGCCGAGTTTTTTGTGACACCCCAAGGTGTTCTCCTACTACCTCACAAAATTTCAAGGGGGGTCGTCGGAGGCATTTTTTTTTCGTAATATAGCCCATATAAGGCGCCGGTCAGTCGAGGTCAGTTTTGACCCCCTGTCCGTAGACTTTTTGCCGAACCGTCACCGGCCCTCGTGTTCTATCGCCATAAGGCACCTTCGTGCCAAATTTGACGCGCCTGCGGCGCCGGGAAGTGCCCTATCGGGCACCCGACCACTTTGCTTTATATATATAGATATATATATATATATATATATATATATATATATATATATATATATATATATATATATATATATATATATATATATATATATATATATATATATATATTTATATATATATATATATATATATATATATATATATATATATATATATATACATATATATATATATATATACATATATATATATATATACATATATATATATACATATATATATATATATATATATATATATACATATATATATATATATATATATATATATATATATATATATATATTTATTTATATATATATATATATATATATATATATATATATATATATATATATATATATATATATATATATATACACTATGTTGCTAGGGGGGCGGGAATGAAACCACGAAGTTCCGCACCGGGTGACACCTAACACTGCAGCATTATTTATTTATCCATCAGAGCTGGCCTCTGAAATATTTCTTTTTTCTTTTTTCAACGGCAATTTTGTTAAAATACAATAGGCCTACATGAGTACATTTAGTTACGTTCACAATTAAAATCAACTTACCTTCAAGGACTGTTCCAATCTTCAACTGCCAGTATTTCATTAATTATGGTTGAATACTCGCTATAAGAATGTCACTCAATCTATAGGTAAATATAACCACCGGTTACATAATATGCAAGATGAATAAACACGACTCGACAAACCACATCATTTATATAAATAGAATTTTAACATCAAGGAAGTAGTTTGTATACCTTACACTGCCTGCTATAGTGTGTAGAACACATAAGTTTATCACCTTTCAAAAGGTTAAATTCTTGTTTCTTATTCAGTCATAAATTTCAAGTTTTATGATATATCGTCAAACAGATTTTTCTTTTTATAACGTGTATCCTAAAATAAAACTATAAAGTATTATATGCTATATTTTTGGAACAGCTTTATAGTTACGATTTAGTGCAAAATCCTAAACCTCATGATTCCAATGATACACACCTACCTGACAATAACACTGGGGAATACCCACACTGGAAGAAACACACTTTACCATACCACGTGGTTAAGCCGCAGTATGCAGCGTACATCACAGAACGCCATTGAATGTGTCTGAATGCATCTCTAGGATATAGTGAAAGGCGTCAAATCTTAAAAGCATTGACCCTTGCATCCGTATAAAAGATTTCGCAGCTATTCATGCACAGCATGAATTAATTCATCTAAATAAAAGTAACGTTTCAAACGATTCTAAATCACGCCAACTTGATGCATTTTATAACTAGCATACCTGTTCACGCGCGTAGAAGAAAGTCTGACGAATTATATTAGGAGGGTTTTATTAATGCGTTACCATTCCTATATTCTTAGACGTGTGACTTTATTTCTAAAACTGGGTTTTATATATATATATATATATATATATATATATATATATATATATATATATATATATATATATATATATATATATATATATATATATATAAAGTAGTGAATATGTGTGTGTTTATTTGTTTGTTTGTTTGTTCATTTGTTTGTCTGTCTTTTATGCATTACTACACTTTTCATTCAATCGCCAGAAAACCTTGGGAAGCTATTAAAAATATTACTGGCGAGGTTTCTGCAAAAAAAAAATATCTTTTAATTTCGAAAGAGCGGCTGCCCGGAAGGGTGCGATTTTTTGCTATATAAAAAAGTCGGATGTGGCTCGACACCGTTCATCCGAGTGCCGTGAAACTGTGGGGGGGGGGGGGGGGATAAAAATACTTCCGAGAAGATTTCTGCAAAAAAAAATCGTATTTCTTTTATGAGGTGCCCGGGAGGGTGCGATTTTTGTCAATACACGATTTGACGCCCAGAGTTCCAGAGCAGCTATGTTTGCACGTGGCATCCGTCATTTGGGCGTACTGCATAGCGGGTGAGATGTACCACTATATTTAGCTGTAAAACTGATAAAAGGCACAATTGCCGGCGCCCCGTCAACATAAATTAAAACAAGGTGTGCATATCACAGATGGCCTGATGTCTTTTGTCTGATGCTGTCCTGAGGTTTGTCTGATGCTGTCCTGACTTTTTTCGGATGATGTCATGACATTTGACAGTTGATGTTCTGATATTTCCCGGATGAAATCCAGATGTTTGCCTGGTGCTTTTAAAATGTATTTTAAGAAAATATTTCTGATATCATTTTACGGTTTCACTCGCTGTAAATAAATTGTATAAAAAAGCAACATAGTTGTAGCACTTGTAGAGCAGCGATACAAATAAAACAGAAAAAAAATGTAAGATGTAGAAAATGGCACACGGTCCTTTGGGAGTAAAAAAAAGGCAAGGAGAAAGATTTAATGTGTTTACCACATCGCTATTTTGAGTTTCGCATGACAAAAAAGTGCTTCTTAATAATTCAACACACCAAAGTATTTTGTATTGTTGTTTTTGTATATATGCTTCCTCCTTCATCTAAAATGGATTTTAATAATAAAAGTAATTACGTTGAATTAGAAATAATTGAGATTCGTACACAGATTTTCCTAGTCGCATTAAAACTATAAACATATCAATCTATGTCAACATAATTTTTTATTGGCATTTCTATTAGTGCAGTTTTGTTGGCTGTCATTCAATGTTTGAATGAGCATTCATCGATATCTGCAAGATCGTATTCAATCTTATCATGAATTGGTGTTTATAATACTTTTTTAATATCAGGAAGCAAATTTATAAGATTAGAAATTATTACACAACGGGCTTACCTTTTCGTTGAAGAGAAGATCGTCAAAGATTTAGTAAAACAAAAAGGTTTCATATCCGCTCTCGATCAAAACAGAAATACGCATCCGTGTCTTAAATGGTGGGCACAATAATAAAAAAAAAAACTAATTTTTCTCTAACCCATTTAGAGCGATATATAATAAATAAGGTTATATCTCATGTATACCTTTTTTAAAATATTTCATTACTATTTTTAAGATGGACATAATATGCTGATAATCAAAGATCTAGGAAATACATGAAAAATATTATTTTCTTCTAATTTTTGTGACAAAAAGGTGTTTAAACGTTTTAATATAATGAGATGTATTTACAAAGAAGATCAACCTATGCAAGTAACTTGTCCATTAACTGTGATGTTATTGCTGCCATCAAAACATGAACAGATGTAGCCTCCATTGGTGTTTGTACAGTTTTGTTGACAATCGTTCAATGTTTTATTGGAGCATTCATCGATATCTGCGAGAGCATATTTGATTTTGTCATTAGAAATTGTCATTTTCAATTACCATCCTATACAACATTGTGAAACTTAGACGAGTAATATGTTAAAAACGATCTCTACAATTTACCTGTAAGACAGCTACGAATGTAATATAAAGAAAAAATATATTTTAACGATTTAAGTTGTATTTGTGTGGAAGTACCCAAGGCCTTTGAATGTATTTCCGTGTTTGTTATATCATTTTGTGACGTGACTTTAATGGTAGTGGAGAAACTGAGGACTACTAAGAGCAAATGCCAGTTCTCAAACATGCTCCCCAATATCATTTAATTATTCCTCTACCTCGTAGGAATTTTAAAGAAGTATCGCACATTATAATAACATATTTTATTCGCGATATAACATCTTACTTGTATTTTTCAAAAGAAATATCAAGTAGCGATAAACCATTCACTTATTAAACGTTTGCCTAATTTAAGATTATTTTAACGTTCATTCTATTTAATAACGGGACAGTTTTTTTTATAATTATGCTAACAAATATGAAATATGGGGTCTATGGTACGTCCTAATTGTAGGTATTTACAATTGCTTTAAAAAACACAATTTTGAAACTCGTACATGTTCAATAATATATTTACCTGTACACATAGAATGTCCGTCTATTAACTGATACAGGTAGCCTCCCTCACACTCGCATCTGTAACTCTCGTAGGTATCAATACATATTTGTTGACAATCGTTCAATGTTTTATTTTCACAATTATTTATCGCTGGAAGAATATGTTGAGGTTTAATATCAATAGAAGTTTAACAGCACCCAAAGTGCTTATAGAATGGTTGGGGCAATACAAGAACAGAACGCTAGAGAACATATTGAGTAAATCCTTGCCGACGTTTAAATACCATAGTAAAGTTCAAGGTTTAACGATTACGAAAGAAAACCATTAATTAGTAATACTAAAACTCATAAAGGTAATACTTGATTGAAAGACAAGCTAGACTAGTAACAAGAAGATATTTAACACACTTTACAATATGGTAAAAAGAAAACACGAATTTCAAAGACACATCTATTTACTTTTCTTTACGGACCAATAGAAAATGAAATAAAATCTTGACTGCAAGATGAGAACAAAATAACCGAAATCACATCAACGCATCAATGCGTTGTATTTTGATTTAAGAAATAAATACATTGTTTCAACATATTATAATGTCTTTACTGAAATGGATTTACAAAGCTATCCTTCTCTTACAACAAAAGTATTAATACTAAACTTAATTTCTTTTATACATCACTTGTTGTTGAGAAACCACATTATGATTACATGAAAAAATAAAAATAAAAAGTTACATACCTTCAGAGGAAAACAATAACACATCAAAGGGAACGTGCCAATTCATTATTTTAAAGAAGAAAAGTACATATAATAATTTGCATTACGAGATTTGTAAATAGAAAATAACGTACCCATCACAAACAACTTATACTTACGATTGCCTACTTTAATGAAACTCATCACACATGCCTTTTACTTACGAATGACCTTTTCAATGGAGCCACTAAATTATACTTAACAATGCCATTTTAAATGTACCTCATTAAACATAAGTTATACTTACGAATGACCTTTTTGCATATGAAAGGAATCGGAAGAGAACAATCTATATCAACCCAGGCATCCGAACACAGACAAAGGGCAACACAGTTTTGACTCGTTCCGCCGCTAGGTTCATCTGTATGGATTAACATAATGATCATACAACATGACGACATAGAAAGCACGGCGATGTTTAGTTTGAAAGTACACATTTTGTTTTTAGCTAGGAACAATTTCTGACATTTTAAAATATTTTTATAGCAGCATTTATCGTTTAACTTACTTAATCTACAATTAAATATATAACAAATTTTTTATATGTATAAATTACATAATGCGCATATATATATATATATATATATATATATATATATATATATATATATATATATATATATATATATATATATATATATATTATACTTACTGCTGCCCCATTGTATGTAAACATTTTTTGTTCCATCCACCCATTCCCATCGACCCTCTTGTCGCTCATCAGAAAGTCCAATCCTAATTAAATAGCTGTTTCTTTTGTAACGAGCTGTGTGATATTAACAAGATATTAACTTGATCTTCAGCTTAAGGTGTTAATTGAAAAAGTAGCTAGTTAACATATTTTGAAATACATTTGAAGCCCCTTTCCTTCCTTAAAGCTTAATCCTTAAAACGAATTACCATTAATGTAATTGTTTTCATCTTCAGAAATTATGGAAACCAAACTCCCGCCGTTCTGCAAACAGTAACTGTGTGCTTCATGCATTGTTACATTCATATTTACATAGGAGTAGTAAACATCTGTTCCATTTCTTCTCTGCCATGTCAATGGTAAAGCTGAATAACAGTCCATGTTTAGAAAAAAGCGAACGATCATTGTATAAGTACTTCAAATAGTTAAATTACTTTATACTGTTTAGTTTTATGTATGGTTCATCATTAATCCCCAATGATGAAAAGTAATAGGTATAATGCCGTTATTTGATTCTCTATTCTATACAGTGTGTTTCCCTAGTATAATAATTTGTACTTATTTATATATATTTCGTTCATTTTTCTTTGCATTTCAAACCTAGTGAAGGTACCTATTGAAAATATTTTTTAATAGAACACAGGTATGTAAACATTAATTTTAATATGAACAGAAAATGTAAGTCGTGTTAAGTTTAAAAAAAAATTCTCTGCTATAAATGAACGTATAAATATTCAACGTATAAGATGTGAAGCTGAACTCTTACTTACCTATTGTTATTGCGGTCAGCACCAAGAACAGACATATAAACATTCTTGTTCGTTATCAGGATGAAAGAAGTTCTATGCAAGATGCTTTAAAAATGCTTCAAAAATATAGTAATTATATATATATATAATATTAAGCTTCCATTTCCATTTATGTATTTGCAAACCAATCATTAATTTAGAGTTCTAATTTTTAAGATGATGAAACAAAATATTAAGAAGAAAATGTTGTCTTAATAACTTAATTAAAATATACGAAAATGGACTATTATTCGTGTTTTTTAAAATCTAGATTATTTTAATGGTAATAAAACACAATTAGTTACATGAGATTAAAAAAGGATGTTAGTTGAAATATATATATTTTAAAATCTATATTCAATGAAACACATATGAGTGCAGGTAATATTAATTATTTTATGAATTATGAAAACATACAATAATAAAGCGGGAGTTATCTCCCCTAAACAGGTATATTCTAATATACAAGTAAAGGCGGGTGGCACTTTCATGCAATCAGGATATAGAAATGTTTTTATTTGGTTTTTTAATACTTTCATTTTTTTACTCTCTCGTATACAGAATATAGAGGAAAAAATGTAATCGTGCATAAATTTTTTTTGACAATTCATACACTACACAATTACAAAAAGTCAAAAGTAATAAAACACCCGATCGGGTTACAAACCAAAAACCATAGAAATACAACCCAGAAACTGAAATATTTCACACAGGCCTCGACTTTCCCTCAGAATATCTCTTCCTGTGCCACACACCACATTCACGAACGAAAAAATCTCGTTCTCAGCCGAAGTACACAGACTGCACACAAGAAATAGTTCCTAATACAACAATAACGAACCATATGACACAAACCATGAAGTTGGACCATACACTAAAACAAACGTAGCATAAATAATTTTTAAAAATACTAACAAACACACAAAGCAGCCCTAAACCAAGATAACCGAAATAATTCCCGCGCCATAATCGCGGACTACTTAATTAAGAACAATAACAATCCTAAACAGGAATAAAAAGCTATATTCACTTTTTTATATAAAGTAGTAAAATAACAATACTAATTAAATTAAATGACTCTCCGGCCCCTTACACTAATAGTGCTAATGACAATGGTAATCGTTAAAGAAGTGTTTTAAAAAATATTAAGAGTAATGTAAAACAAGATACATACAACAAAGTTTAGTCTTTATATCCACCCCAAAGTGTAAAAAAAAATATACACATCATAGTTTAGTCTTAATATCCGCCCCAGCAATGTGTACAATATAATGGTGTGTTACACTCCAGCGACCATTCAATAGCAAAAACGCTGGTATTACGCGAGACACGGATATAGAACTAGAAAAATCTAAGTTGAATAAAGTTAAATTTAACAACCAACACACAGAGCAATACTGTATCGATTCAAAAATAATTTATAAATTAGGGTTTTGTGATTTCTCAGTGTGGTATCAATATTTAATTAGATAATTAAACATTTAATAATATAACATATAATAAATCATTTTTAAAATATTTTAGAGTTTAAAATTTGAAGGAAAACTACGTAATTTTAAGGTATTAGTATACAATTTAAAACAGATAATATAATCTTAATGTTTTCAAAAAGTATATTCATTCTTTCTTGTGAGTGATGTAAACAAAATATTATTACCTTAAGCTTAATGTATTGGCGGAAGTGAAACTTAACGAAAGGGGCTGAACCTTGTAATGAAACAACTACCTAATACATTTATCAGTTATCTTTCGTTTTGTAATGACGTTAACGTTGAGGGTTCTACGTACAGTTTACCCATAGCAAATAACATCATCCTCATCTCCAATCAAATACTAAATTATAAATGTATGTACATCAAACACTCCCCCATATATATATATATATATATATATATATATATATATATATATATATATGAATATTATGAATATATATATATATATATATATATATATATATATATATATATATATATATATATATATATTCATAATCTCATAATATAAAAGCAAGGAATATATCTGGTTGAGAAAATGTTGTTATTTGGCTATTTTATTCGTTGAATACTATCTTATATTGATATTACTTATTTAAAACGTTTTATGCGACTAGTGACACTCATGCATTTTTACCACTGCACGTTTCTTTCTTACCTGCCTGGTACTAGGAACTCTAAGGTTAAATTTCATATTAAAAAAAGAAAACATACCATGTTTACATACTGGAGTATCCGTTGCATAATAAGTCATATTTCGAATGTATTCGAGTTAGTGACTTTCGGAAAATCTTATAAGTTGATGAGACCACAGTTCTCGTTAGTAAAATTTTTGGCTGATCTGTTTGATAAACCATTTTGATTTTAAACTTTATTTTTAAAATTCTAAATCATAATAACGAACGAATGTAACATGATTGTAACAATGAATACTAACTTTTGCCCTATTGCACATATTTTTTTAAACAAAGTAGACTTATTATTGAATTAAGGCTAGATCTTATTTTATGTCTTAAATAATTTTTTTTTATAAAACTAGTCAAATAAAACATAGTAACACCTTAAATTATAACAACATTACAAAACAAAGCATACCTTTTTAAAATTGAATGTGCTGGTCTTAAACATTTCAAGGAAAACATCGGCATAACGAAAAACATCGGTACAAAAACAGTATTTAACTCATCGAGGACTTTAGTAACGAGTTGATATATTACAGTAAATTCTTAAATTGTAATTTTGGTGAATAGATTGTACTCAAAAAATTAAGTTAACATATAGTTAGTTTTATTAAAACATTAATTTAATTCTAATTACAGTTAATGAATTAATATGATAAAACATGTTTAAAAATTAATGAAAACTCAATTTACGTATGCAAGTAAAGCCGTCAAAACATGAGCACCTATAACTACCAACTGTGTTTGTACAGTTCTGTTGGCAATTATGTTCGGATGAACATTCGTCTATGTCTGCAAAGTGAAACATTAATTGGTCGATTTAATTGATATAGGTTTGCGATTAACTGTTTCAAGCTAGCAACATTTTTATGATTTGTTTTATTTTTTAAAAATCATTTATTAGTCACTTGAATGAAACGACACAATTTAAACTTTAATAGCTCAAAGCTTACAACTAACGTATTTTTAAATTGCTAAATCGCTTATTAAAATAATCAGTAAGGTTAACAATTGCTTGAAATAATCCATGATTTGTTTACTTAGACACAAAAAACGAAGAGAAGACATAGGAAAAAGAATATAAGAAAAAGAAAAGTAAGCTTGGTTACAACCTTGACATAACTGTAAAGTATCGTTGTACAAATAGCCATCTTTCTTTTTATAAGAAATTATAGTTTGCGTTGACAGTTACATATAAAGAATTAAAAATATTTTTACTTTATAATGCCTAGCTAAAGCTTAATTTAAGTTGCTTTACTATCTACATTGATTTGGTTTATTAAACATATTATGAAAATGTATTTCTTCATATATATTTATAGTTCTAGATTGAAAAACAACTTTTGATAGAACTAGAACAAAAATATTTGTCTACCTTGACATAACAGTTTAGTACTGGAGTATACATATCCATCAAAACATGAACATGTGTAGCCGCCAGGAGTGTTAGTACAGTTTTGATCACAAGAATTCAATTTTTCATCAGCACATTCGTCTACGTCTGAAAACGTTGCAAAAAGCGTTTATTCAAAATATAATTTAAATTGCATCTTAGAGAACATGTATGCATTCTATAACACGTAGTAGATGCAGTTGTGTACATATTCTGTTTTTGTACTGGTTAACAGGTCTATAATATACGCTTCTTCTTCGTCTTCTTCGTTCTTAATTTTTAGTGTTGGAAGGGATCGAGCCTTATCTGCCAGAGGATTTGAACTCGAGATTTTTTAGAATTTATCAACCATGAGCTTTTTGCCGACCCGACCACGCTTCCATCACAATTAAGGATACGTGTCAACTAGTTATGCGCCATTGAGGCCATTGACTCTGATTTCAGCCTGTTTTTCTTTATTGATTTGCTTCCATAGCCTTTGTCCAACCCAGTGGCGTAGTTAGGATTTTTGGGCCCCTATGCAAAAATTATCAGTAGGCCCCCTTCGTCAGCCTTTCGGCTACAATGGATTTAAACATAGAAATCATCTGCTACTTTTGATGGAGAATTTCAAAAATAATATAAATAATCTGTACATTTTATATTTTATACGTTCGGATTGTGTATTTATAATATATTAGTGTGTAGTTTTGTAAAACTATTACAAGCTTACAGTTAATTTG